CTCTCTCTCTCTCTCTCTCTCTCTCTCTCTCTCTCTCTCTCTCTCTCTCTATGTCTGAATCTCTCTATCTCTCCCCCCTCTCTGACTTCTGCTTTCATCATCAGATCTCTCTGATTCTGATCCCCTTCTCTCTCTCTTTTAATAATCCATGTTATTACATTGGACCCACCTGAATAGTATAACCTCCCCATCTCAAGATCATTACCTTAATTACATTTGCAAAATACTTTTTATCATGACAGGGTGAGAATATTGGATTCATAGATGCTAAAGATTAGGATGTAGACATCTTTGGGGTGTCCATAACTCACCCTAACATAGTCAATTTCTGATTTACTCAGTTTCTCCTCTTAAATTCTGAAATAACAGATCCATAGATCCCATAGAGCACTTGGAGATAATCTCATTCTCATAATTTCACTTCCTGGTCACTTCCCCAGCTCAAGTCCTCCCTCTGAGTATTTCAATAGCCTCCTAACAGGTCTCTCTGCACCCAGACTTGTCCTTCCAAATTCATCCCCTCGTGTTGTGGAGAGGAGAGAAGCTTAACACTCCCTTGACAAGGATGGAAGAGGCCCTTGGGACTGATAACATGCATATGGTTAAGGCATTGCCACCTACTTCGTGGCATCAAATTCATCCCCTATTCCATAGTAATCTTAATGGTACATTTTAAATATGTCAAGTTTATTATATCCAATTACGCCTCAATAAAGCTAGTAGAGAAAGTAGAATAATCCAAAAGAATTCAAGATAAAGGTGAAAATGGTATATGCACCAGGGAAACAGAGAAAGCCTCCTCACTCAAGCAGTGAGGGGACAATGGCCAGATTTAAACCTATTAAAACATCGGTAAGTGCTTTAAATGTAAATAGACTAAATGTTCAAATTTAAAGAAGAGCAAAATAATTGTCTAACTGTATTAAAATTAACAGGACTCAACCATATGCCCTTGTAAGTGTTTGGTGTATTGAGACTGAAACTACTGTAAAAGAAGAGAAAAAGAGGGCCAGAAATGTGGCTCAGTAATAAACTACTTGCCTAACATGTGTGAGGCCTTAGTTTCCATTCCTAGCACCATCAAGGGGGCAGGGGAGTAAAAGGTAATTCTTGAATATGTACCCAGTTTTTATTACCAGGATAATGTTTTTACCAACCACAGACAAAAACTAAACTACTGTACCATATAATAATAGTTTACTGCTCACATATGTGAACTCAGTGGCTATCTGTTCTGTAGCCATTGATGTAGGCTGGCCTCAGCTACCTTGACTGGGGGAAACTGACTCTGAAATATGTGTGTCCTTAACCAACTGGCTTAAGTGTGTTATTCTAGTGATAGAAGTGGTCCAAAAAAGCAAATTCCAATGTGCAAGCCCATTTCAAATCCCTGCTTCAAGGAATGTCTGTTACTTGTTGAACCCAAAGTAAAAAATAAGAGCTGGGAACCTCTAGGAGTAAAGTTACATGGCTAAAGGTATCAACACAAAGGGTGTAACTAAAAGAAGGATGAAAGGGCCGGGGATTTAGCTCAGCAGTTTCGCCGCCTGCTGCACAAGCCCAAGGACCTGAGTTCGATCCCCAGAACCAAAAAATAATAATAAAAAAAAAAATAAAAGAAGGATGAAGAACTAGGGCCAAATGATACAATCTACCTTACCAGGTGACCAGTGGACAAAGTAAGCATTGAGGAAAAAAGCATTACTGGAGATAAAGAAGGACATTCTCTAATGATGAAAAATGATGTAATTTTTTTTCAGTTTGTAGTACTCAATCACATAGTCTCTAAAAGACAAATCCACAATGATGGTGGAGCACATCTCTCAATAAAGGACAGAGTAAGTGGACAAAAAAATCTGTAAGGAGATGAGTTTAACAACAAATAAAGTAGTCTTAATTAACATTTATAGAACACTGTACTCAACTGCAGAAAATACATTCTTTTCAAATGGTCATAAGACCATTTATTAAAAGTTATTAGGCTGTGATTTAGCTCAGTGGCACCGCAGCTGCCTTGCAAGCGCAAGGTCCAGAGTTCAATCCCTGGTACCAAAAAAAGTGATTATATGGGCTGGAGATGTAACTCAATAGCAATGGTTGCCTAGCATGAACAAGGCTGCAGTTCAGTTCCCAATACTGAAAAAGAAAAGAAAAAAAGTGCTCATATCTTGAGCCATACAATTGGCTTAAATGTACTTTAAAGAACTGACATCTTAACAATATATTTTCTGACAAAGTGCAATTTAGCCAGAAACCAATGAGAAAAAGATAGCTCCATGGCAGAGTGCTTACCTAGCATGCACCAGGACCTGGGTTCAATTCCCAGGACAACCACCCCTCAAAAAGCCAGAAAATTTCACATTTATAAAAACCAATGACCAAAGGAAAATGATCACAGTGGAACACACAAATGAAACCAACACACAAACACACACATTGGTGTGTCCAATGGCAGATTTGAGCAAGGGCTCTAAGACTAGGAGGAAGTTGAACTGATTGGATACTGAATAAAAGACAACTTCTTAACCAGAATCACTGCCATAACCATATTCCATGAACCTACAGATCCTCTACTTTGAGTCTATGCATGTACAAGGGTAGCCAAGTTCTCATAAAAATTCAATCCTAAGAGGCAGATCAATAAAACTGTTTCCCTTCCAGATCTCTTCTCTGATTTTCACATTCATATATCCAACAGCCTACTGAAACCCCCTCTTGGATTTCTCACATGCACCTCAACATTAATATGTACATAACTGAACCAGAGTTTCCCTTCAAAACCTATTCTCCCAAAGTCTGTCCCATTCCATTACAGGATGCTGCCACTAATCCAGCTGGTTAAGTAAATACCTGGTGGTGGAGGTCAGGACTGAGAGAGTGTAAGTAGACTTATTTCTCCTGCCAAAGACAACTAAAAGCTGAATAAAACACCTGACAGGCGACAAGGCTGATAATCCTTCTGAGAGGGGAACAAGGGAGCCCTTCACAACTGCAGGGCCTTGGAAAAGGCCTGGGCTGCAAGCTGCTTGTTGCCTGCCCTCCCTGTCAGGCCTATAGTGGCAAATGGGGCAGATGTGGGGCTGAGCCCTCCCAGGGCAGTGGCAACGAAAGGCAGCAAAGCTCACTCAAGGAGAGCCAATTGCATAAACGTGCCTCAAGTTTAACTGCGACTCATAATCCTAATGTAACCTCCCGTTTCTAGTGATGCTCCAGAGGGAGCACAGGGTTGGACTTGTTACTTACAGCGACTCACAGTCTCAACAGTGACTTACAGTCTCAAGCGCAAATCTGGACTTCACATCTGAGAAGACCAGCAACTGTCAACATGGAGGCTGAATTGGAGCACGCGGTTCCAAGGTCTCGCGCGCTGGGCGTGGCCAGGTGCTATGGGGCGTGGCTACAGGCTCTGCTATAAGAGCAAGACTCAGGTGAAAGCCCTACCGGTCTTAACGCAGAGCACCAAGGTTGATAATTTTTTTACCTTGTCCTTCCTTTCTCTCCCTCTCCCTGCCTCTTCCTCTTTTCTGTCCCTCTCTCTCCTTCCCTCCTTCCTTTCTCCTCTCTTTCCTTCCTTCTTTCCTTCCTTCTCTCTTTCCTTTTCTTTTCTCTTTTCCTTTTCTCCTTCCCTAAAGACCACCTACCTACATCCAACCCTTTTAATTTTAAACTTTGAGACAGGGTGTTGCTTAGTTGCCCAGGCTGGCCTCAAACTTGCAATCCTCCTGTCTCAGTCTTCAGAGTAGCTGGGATTACTAGAATGCACCTATGCCCGGCTTTATCTTGCTTTAAATTAAAAAAAAAAACACACTTTTTAAATATTTGAAAGGCCACACTAGGTCAGCATTAGCTTTTGTTTGTTTAACCTCTAGATCCTTATATCCAATGGTAGGTTAGTCATCTTTATCTGCATATTCAGGTGTAGACACCTTAAATTTAGTAAATTTTAACTTAAATTCATTATCTTTTCTTTCAAATCTGTGCTATCTCCTGCAGCTCCAAATCAGTAAATGACAAGATCTGAAATCAGTGTTATCTCGTTCTAGACTCCTCTCTCTCTTCTTCTTCTTTCTCAGTGCCCACTAGGTCGCTAATCATCTCTGTGCATACCAACCATCTTGGCACCGCTATGTTAAGGTAGTTACTGCATCAGACACCCAAAGAATCTCACTTCCACTTTACCTCTGCCCAAACCTTCAAAGAGCAGCTGGTGATCTTTTAAAAATGCAAATATGACTATGCTTAAAATTCATTTCTAAGGGTAAACATTTTTTAAATTGGATCCTGCCTTTTTCTTCAGCTTCATCTGCCCTCTGCTCTCCTACATGCCCACTTATATTGAAACTCCAGCAAAACCAAACTTCTTGTACTCTCTAGTTCTGCTCCCCTACACGTTTATGTATCTGTATTCATGCTGTCCCTACTATAAGGCTTAACCACTTCCCACTCCCAAATATTACTGGCTAACTCCTTTTCTTAGCATGAAACTTGGCTCAGGAATCCTTCTTTTGTCATTACTACCTCTATTCCTCACCAGCAGATTCAGATATATTGGGCACACTGATAATTACCTACTTAGTCTTGCTGAGCTTTTGTAATCTACTTACTGTTGGCTAGCCTATATCTAACTCATCTCTTTATTAACAATGTCTACTAAAATGTTTACCACATGTCAGTTAATTAGTTGGTTAAATAAATACCCAGAAGCTACGGATCTATCAACCCTTAACTGACTGCATATTTTCTGGCTGTATCTCTTCTGACCTAGCTGAATTCCCTAGAGTGTGCTTCCTAGTAACTAGTGGGAGTCTGCATATGACACTACACAGAAAAGAGTCTGGTAGCTTGAATTAGGGTGGTGATAGTGTAAAGGAAGAAATGTAGACTGAGCCTTGAGATATTTATCCTCTTCCTCCTAACTTCCATTCTGAGATACTTAACCCTCAACATGGCAGTACTGAACTACTGGCACCCTTGAGATTAGGTAGTACCCAGTGAGTGAAATATTCTTATGTGAAAGGCAGATTTTTCTGAAACTCCATTCTGACTGTTACTTGAGTTTTCCTCTCTTATTGACAGATAATGAAATAAGCTATAGTGGCTGGTCCTAGGTTTGAGCAAAGACAGGCCTTGTCCTATTACTTCTGGTTTTAAAGGTCCACCAACAAGCAAGACAAACAAAATGAAAGCATGAAAAACAGAATTTTAAAAAGGATACCAAAGAGCTTATCAAATAAGTCTAGTTAGAACACTTTATTTCAAGGAATGTAGATATTAATAAATTTCTGTGGTAGAATTAAAATTTGGCTGTTAAAAATTAGTGATGAAAGTAGACTGGGTTTTGTTTGTTTGTTTTTTGTTTTCCCATCATAGCTGACTAGGGGCAGCAGTGCTCATGGGACACTCAGAAGTCACTCACTGGAAAGTGAAGATAAGTGGAAATTGAGGATCAACAAAAACTCAAATATAGGAAGGTAACTTGAAGGAGAAGCCTACCAGGTGAATTCTAGTACCAGGAGAAGTTAAGAGAAAGAAGCTGGGCCACCTTTGATCCCAGCACTTCTTACATCCCAGGTCCAAGAACATAGCATCTTGGGGAAAAGTCTAACCTTGGCAGGAAAGAGGCTAAGTACAGCAGCAGGAGCTGGGCTGCTGCCCTTGGCACCTAGCCTAGCAAGTACTGTATGTCAGTGCCACCTGTCCCAACTCTCTTCTCGCTGGGACAGGGAGTTTGCCAAGCAAGATATTTGCAGATCAGAGCACTACAGAAACAGAAAGCTAGTGAATCATTCAGAGGGCAGTGGGTTAGGACCACTGGGGCCTTGGGAAAGAAAAAAAAAAATGGGCACAGTCCTGGTTAGGGACTTGTAACCAGACACCGAGAGAGCTGAGGCCCAGTGACTTGCAGCACCAAGCAGCATTTGTGACAGTGTGATCTAGGGGAGGAGAAAAGACACTTGAGTGATGGCATTTTCCTATTGCTCCCCCCAAATGCCAGTGAGTTCTGGGCCCTGGGGGTATCCCAACACTGCCCACTCTCCAGAACTAAGCGCCTGCAAAGAAACTCTTCCACTACCCGTCAAAAGCTGCTGAGTTCTCCATGCCGTAAGAATCACTGAGTCCATGGGCTGGATAGAGACTCTCTGTGGGTTTGGTGTAGAGTTTGGTACAGACGGAAACCTGGAGAGGAGGGGCACAGCCCGAGGGGGTTGCACTGTGAGCTCACTCAGAGTGGTATAGAAAGAGCATGAGTAAGCAGCTGCAGGGTGCAAAGATCATTGTGGAAGGAAAGGGAGAGAGATCAAGAAGGCCCTTCACACTAAGGTGGCTGAGGCAGGAGGATCACCACGAGTTTAAGGCTGGCCTATGCTATATAGACAGTTCAAGGCCACCTTAAACTACCTAGCAAGACCTTATCTCAAAACACCAAAAACAAACAAAAAACAAAGACCACTTCAGAAATCAGTGGGATTGGGTACTTGACCTGTCACTCTGCCCAACCCCACTGTGCACATCTCACACATTGAAGGTATCTGATCATAAGACAGGCAAGCAAAACAAAGCAAAAACGAACTCTGGCTTGCCACATCTAGAGGAGCACAATCGAAGCCAAGCAAAGGACAACGGCACGCTGAGGAAATGAGAAGCAGGTTCTATCACTCACTGGCAGGCAAGAAAAAATCATACAATTTTTTCATTTTTTCATTATCAGTAGACATAACAAACCTCTTGGATTCAACCACAGGGAACTGGAGCTTAGCCCCTCCACAATCGCTATAAGTCAGTTTCTCCATTTGCAAATGTAGAGGGAAGAGCACACTAGTCAAATTTTGACTGCTGTATAAATAGGTCTGAGATACTCTTATGATTCGTATATGTGTGAGTTTTTTGGGGGGGGGATTCTTTCTTTTCTCTTTCTCCTTTCATCAGACATGTATATGTGGGGGGGCAGTGTGTGTGATGTCTGTATATCTGAAAAGGAGACTAAGAATTAATTTGTCCTTTGGCTTAAATAGTATCTTTCATGGGCATGTCAGGTTAACCCTCACCAAAAATTATGTGCACAGGATTCAACACAAGTCTTCTATCAGCATATTAATTGGTTCTGACCTTCTTACTGATTCCTTCGATCAGCAAATATACTTCCCTCCCTCTTCTTCCTTTTTCCCACCCCAACAAATAACCTCTCAAACCCCCTCTCTATCAGTCCTCCTCTCCAATATCAAAATAATACTGGGGCCAGGGATCTAGCTCAGTGGTTCCACCACCTGCCTTGCAAGCAGAAGGACCCAAGTTCAATCCCTGGTAAAAAAAAAAAAAAAAAAAAGAGAGAAAACAAAATAATATCAACAAAGTCTTCTCTCTTTTTTCTTTCTTCTGCTATTATCTTTTTTCTCCTTTCCTTTTTTTTTATTTTTTGGTACCAGGGATCAAACTCAGGACCTTGCACTTGTAAGGCAGGTGGTGGAACCACTGAGCTAAATCCCCGGCCCCATCTTTCCTTTTTTCTGAACTAGTTTCTTCCTTTTTACTTCTCTTATCCTCTACACCCCAGCCTACAGTACTAAATATCACAGTCTTTCTGGATTATTTTTAAAAACAAGTTTTAAATTACGTGAATGAAGGAAAGGAACACTGCCAAACTCATTCTTTGAAGCTAGTATTACCTGATACCAAAACCAGACAAGGACTCAACAAAATAAAAAAAAACTATGGGTCAATCTTCTAATGAACATAGACATAAAAATCTTCAACGAGATGCTTGTAAACAGAATGCAACAAATCATTAAAAGACCATATATAATGACCAAGTTGGCCTCATCCCAGGGATGCAGGGATAGTTCAACATACATAAATCAATAAATGCAATACATCACATAAATGGGATAAAAACCACACAGTCATCTCAATAGATGCAGGAAAAGCCTTCAACAAAATCCAACATTGTTGCATAATAAAAACCCTGACAAAAAGTATAGAAGGACCATAACTTAAACTGATAAAATCCACTTATGCCAAACCTATTATCAACATCATACCAGACAGGGGAAAACAGAGTATTTCCCTTTTTATTTATTTGTTTATTTATTTATTTATCTTGGCTTTTTGAGACAGGTTCTTGCTACTTAGTTCAGGCTGGCCTTGAACTCACTATGTAGCCCAGGCTGGCCTTGACCTTATGGCAAACCTCCTGCCTCAGCCTCCCAAGTCCTGGGATTATAGGCATGCACCACCACACCTGGCTAGAGCATTCCCTTTAAAATCATGAACAAGACAAGGGTGCCCACTCCTACCACTCCTGTTCAATATAGTACTAAAAATTTTAGCCAGAGAAGTTAGGGAAGAGAAAGAAATAAAAGGGATGTGTAGA